GGGGAAATTTTTTTTTTTTTTTTTTTGGTACCGGGGATTGAACTCAGGTCCTTCGGCTTTCAAGGCAGACCACCGAACCGCTGAGCTGAATCCCCAGCCCAATTTTATGCTTTTGGACTTGTGACACTTGAGTAAATTGAATGAAATACTGTGAAGTATTCCTAGCATTTTTTCTGTCAATGTGCTTATACAATACAAATTGTAGCTGTAGTTTACTCATTTGCATTTCTCCATCATGATGCATTATGTGGTATCATATTTATTATTCTGGTAAACATTTGATTTGTGGAAATAAAGACCATCCAAAAGTGAAAACACTATTTCAAGCTTGCCATAGTTCTAGAGAAATGAGGCATGATCACTTGTGTTTGGTAGGCACCGGTGTATATTGATACAGCTTTACAGTGGGGAGGGGAAAAAATAAAATGGCTGGTTCAGACCTGCTCTGCTTGGAAGCTGTTGCTATGCAAAACTGGTGCCCAGCTAAATAGCAGACAAGATATTTCCTCTGATCGTTTGGGAAACATGTTTGGCTTTCTCTCCTTGGTCCTGAGTTAAAAGTGGGCAAACACTGGATGTTACAGCTCCTGACCCAGCCCTGACCATTCTGAGTGGACCCCTGCACATTGTGATTTGGCTTGGTTATGGGTCAGAGCTGTGTTGCCATATATTCTGCCCATTGTCTTTATATTCAGTCTCAAGAGTTGTCCCTAGTTTTTGGTTGCTTAACTTTTATATTTCATACAAAGTTTGAAAAAAAAGTAATGTTAGGAATAATTAACTCAAACTATAAAAATTCAGGTATTAATATTTTAATCTCTAGAGCAACCATTAAAATGATACATGTATAACCAATAGGTATTAAAATGCATTACTAGAAGTTATTTGAATAATCTAAAAGCAAACCTGAAGAAAAGAAAGAGAAAAGTAAAAACCAAACCCCAGAGACAAACCTGAAAAAAATGACAAATCTAAATCCATCCCCAGCAATAATTATGTTAAATGCTAATTATCTGAGCCCTGGGGTGTGGGGAGTTATCAACAACTTTTTCTATAAAGGGCCAGGTGGCAGATATTTTAGGGTTCATGGGCCATACAGTCTCTACTGTGCTTGGTATTAGTCATAGTCAGTACATAAATGACTGAAATACGCCAGTAGAACTATTTACAGAAACAACAGGCTACATTTAGCCTACAAGCTGCAGTTTGCTGCCCCTTGCTGTTCAGTTACAGATTTGTTTTCCTTTAAAATCTGTTGGACTTTGGTCTGACCAGAAGTTATTTCCAAATCTGGGAATTACTTTTAATTGCAATGTTTTCCAGGTTTAGAATTTTCCAAGGTTAGAGCTGTTATCTATTCATTTAGTTAGTTAGTTCTGGAGACAGAACCCAGGGCCTTGCTTTTGCTAAGCACACTTTCTGCCACTAAGCTACAACCCCAGCCCAAGACAACTTTTAAGCTAAATTAATGGGTTACATTTCCAAAACTGGCCTAGTAAAGAATTTAGGCTGCAAATGCATAAGGTATCTGACTGATGACAACCTCTTAGTCTTAGGACAGAGCTCCCATAATTGCTTGTAAAGCAACTGGGGTGAAGGAAGGGTTGACATTTACTTCTGGATCAGTATTTCCCTCTGTTGTCCCTGTTTCTTTCCACCTCAGTTTGGCCTTAGGTTTGGAGTTCTGGCTCTTGCTGAAGAAAGGACAATAAAGGAACTATGGAATATATACAGGCTCCCCTTTCCTCGAAGGCTAAAATTCCTTGATCACAGCCTGCTGGTGGTGAACAAAGTGGCCAGAGCTCTCAGGCGGTAATGATGTGCAATCATGAATGTGCACAGCTAGACCTCATTTGCACCCCAGTCTCACTGCATAATAATACTGAGGACATCAGTGCTGTTAGCCTGATAACTGCTTGTCAAGAGATGTTTAGAGTCCAGCTTTGGTCCGGCCATCACAAACCAAGCAAAGAAAGGGGGACGTGGAGCAAACAGCCAATAAATTGATAACTACTATATAAAGTGCTTGTTTTCACCCAGTTGCCACCCCCTACACGCACCTTTATATGTCAAAATGCTTTAAATTCATCTAAAACCATCCCTGTGTTGACAGCAAAAATTGATAATTTGACATAAGAATGTGGTGGTTTCTGAAATTACAACTCTCACAGGAAAAGAATAATTTTCTACTGTTTTATGTTATTTACAAGAGATAAAGAGAAAATTATTACCTTTCCCTTTCCACTTGAGATTTTAGAGGAGCATGTAATCTGTCTTAGACTTTATAAGTTTGTGCAGAGCTTTGCATTGCGTTGATTATCTCATTTCTTGTGAAACCTTGATGAATAGGCAGGATGGTATTAATTGCATGTCACAGATGAGGAATCACGCTTCAGTTATTTAGATTTGCCCCAAATTGCCCTGAAAAGAGACAACTTTTATTTAGTTGATGATATTTCCCAATGAGAACACTTCATTGTTCGGGCAGAATTCTCCTCCTCTTTATTCCCATACGTGGTAATGTCTGTCATAAAGAAGCCCAGGACAGGACTCTGCCTAACTGCAGCTGCAGCTGCACGATGGTAGAAAATATGGGAGTTCCTCAGAATGCTCCTGCACGTGGACTATGTTCTTCGCAAATGTGTATTTCCCTTATCTGAGGTACTATGTCCTCTGTAGGGAGTTGGCAGTTGGCAGTGACATCAGGCAGACTCGCTCTACCCTAATCCCAACCCTTTCTACCACTACAAAATAGCGAAAGCAACAGTGACAGCTTTCATACGCTGTTACCTATAGAAATCCTGTGGTGAGTCATTTGGGGGAGACATTATGTCTGTGTTGTAAATCTGGAACTTGGATAGGAAGTAGTTTAAACATGTGTAAAACGCTTCTTAGGTCGCAGGGGTCTCTGAATCATGGTTTAGTGTGGTACATTAAGTGCACTGTGTGCGGTGCCTAGTGAAGGCAGCAGGAGCACAGAGACAAGATGTGCCTCCATCAGTGTTCCTCAAGCCATAAACATACATATATATATATACACACACATATGTGTGTGAGTGTGTGTGTGTGTGTGTGTGTATAGATAGATGCACAGAGACAAGATGTGCCTCCATCAGTGTTCCTCAAGCCATAAACATACATATATATATATACACACACATGTGTGTGAGTGTGTGTGTGTGTGTGTGTGTATAGATAGATTTTTTTTTTTTTAAGTACACAGACTGGTAGCCAAGTTTAGTACACATACCTCTAATCCAGCACTCAGGAGGCAGGAGGATCACTATAAGTTCCAGGCAAGATGTGCCTCCATCAGTGTTCCTCAAGCCATAAACATACATATATATATATACACACACATGTGTGTGAGTGTGTGTGTGTGTGTGTGTGTATAGATAGATTTTTTTTTTTTTAAGTACACAGACTGGTAGCCAAGTTTAGTACACATACCTCTAATCCAGCACTCAGGAGGCAGGAGGATCACTATAAGTTCCAGGCTGGCCTTGAACCTACTATGTAGCACAGGCTGACCTCTAACAGCAATCCTCCTGCCTCGGCCTCCCAAGTGCTAGGATTGAGGGGT